TTCCAATGGTCGACCTCGTACATTGCGTCTTCTTTGGTCTTCGGACTAGATATTTTCTAACAAAAGGAAAAAAGCGACGTAACTGCAGATGAGAACATTGAAAACGTTGGTGTTCAATACATCTGGGAACATATATAAGGAATATGGTTACTTGATCATTAGAAGTGTTTAAAATTTCATGCTCTCTAGGGGACTTTGACATAGTGAAATCTTGTTAGGCGTACATTGATTTGATTTTTTGTCGTTATGATTAAGTAGTATTATTCATCTTCCTGAGCACTGAATTTTCAAGATCACTCCCTTCAATTATTGAAAGCATCCTCCTTAGTAGATATTATAGAAATAAATTCAACAGAATGTCATATTCAATGGATTATCAGTTGTCTCTATGTAGACTTTCCTTTCAACACTAGGTTAACGCGGATCATATGCCTGAGGAAGCAGATGCAAAGAAAGAAAATATTACGAAGAATATTTTTCCTTGTGATCATTGCAATCGTGTGTACAAATGTAGAAGTTCTCTATACCGGCATCGAAACGAAGCTCACTTAAAGGTTAGATAATTCTCTTTTCCACACATTTTCTGCCTAGAAATGAATAAGTATCTATTAAATTGTTCCGTAGAACTTTGATGAAATGTTTAATAACCCCAAATGATGAAACATCCAGAATATTTTGGAGGAGTTGATTATAATATAGCTTGTGCTTAACATAATTGGCTGTTAATTCAGTGGTAATAAAGGTTGCATACATACTTGAAATCACAAATTTTAATAATCTATTCAGTGAACGCCTTCTGGCAATTAGTCTACATAATCGTCGGCCTACTGATATGATTTTGAGAAACTTAAAATACTTGAGGAAGATAGAAATATGAGTCATTCCATTTGAAAAAGGGGGATTTGTTGCTAAGATTTTCTATTTTCTCCTGCAGTATAAGTCTCATCCACAATTTGGCTGGCGAAATTAGCAATTATTGAAGCCGCTGGAGCGGCACAAAGTAGACGTTACTGCTCTATAGCTAAACTCAAGAGGTGTATACGAAGCCAAGATGTTTTACGTCAACAAAATAAGAAATAATGACCTTGTCATACGCCTAACAAGATTTCACTATGTCAAAGTCCCCTAGAGAGCATGAAATTTTAAACACTTCTAATGATCAAGTAACCATATTCCTTATATATGTTCCCAGATGTATTGAACGCCAACGTTTTCAATGTTCTCATCTGCAGTTACGTCGCTTTTTTCCTTTTGTTAGAAAATATCTAGTCCGAAGACCAAAGAAGACGCAATGTACGAGGTCGACCATTGGAATTAAAACGTAGGAACACTGCATGAAAAATAAAGGTGATTCAGAAAAAATGAAAAATATGCCAACAAGATCATCGTCCTCATTTTGGGATAAAAATATGTGTATTTGTTGTTGTCAAGGGGTAACCAAGGTATTGGTGTAGTTCAAACCACAGTTAAAATATAATAGGTTTCCATTCTGTCGCCACTTCCAGACCCTGTCAGGGATATTAATTTCGAAAACTAAAGACTAAGACAGCTTACTTTGGCATTAATATTCGCAGAAGAGTGAAGTATATTGTCGGCGAGATTTCCACATTTTGGGGGTAATGGACACTTGAAACCTGCATCGTCACGAGTGGGGGAACCACCAATAGAAGGTAAATGGATTTTCAATTTGAGATTCATTGGGGACTCTGCAAATGTATAGGGAAGAGATGTGAATGTGATTTCAACTATCACTTCAACTATAAATCCTATCTAAGGTTAAGTGCCTAATCAACTGCTTGGGTTTTGCGTGAATAAAAAACACTTCAATTTCCTTTTGGTGTTTACTGTTCAATGCAGTAACATCACCATGTATACATATATATATATATGTATATATATATATATTACAGTTTTGCAACGAACTAGGTTAATTCTTTTCAAATAGTTTTGAGTAAGGCACTGGCACTATTATTTACATCCATGTACCTTAGGCGAAGAGATGCTGGGAAATACACAAACTGTGTTTACAGATTCAGGTGCCGAAAGACAGAGTATTACTCCTTACATTCAGCCTGCTGGTATCAATTATTCAGGAAATATTAGGAAAACGTGAAATTCAATCATCTGGCCAAAGCTCATCTCATAAGTTATGGGTTACACTTAATATGATGTCTTATACTAATTGTTCAGGTAAATAAGATTAGGCACCTGTGGTCTATTGTTTCGATTTTGAGTGCATCACCCGTCGTCACGTAAAATAAGACAGACGGATAACCAAATCAACGCAGAATATTGAAAAGTGTGTCATTACACTGCAAACAACACAAGAAATGAGGAGAAGTGTACCGATACGACGACGAACAAACATGTGTAGAAAACAAAATTTAGACTGATGGATTTTGGAACCTTATACTACGAGTCTCTTACTATTGACTGTCAAATAATCCAAGGAGCATTCACATAACCTAGGCCTGGCTTAAGATGCCACAAAGATATCCGGAACTTCACTACGTAGCTAAAACTAGCAGCTAGAGACTTCATGGATTACTGCTATGTTTGTCAAGCCTTCTTTAGAATTGCTTTTCTTCAACCTAAGTGTAACCTGATCAGTATTGTTCATTGAGAAATGCTCTGGATGAATATGCACAAAGAGAATTCATGAAGTAAAAAAAATATTTAAAAAAATCAGCTCAACCATAGGAAACTTAAAGGTAGCATTATAGTCTTACGCGAAGTGTTCTAACCTAAAACCAACGGTTTGAGTAAAATAAGATGGTAACATTTACTTTTTTAAAATCTGGATACTTTGAAAAGGGGGTTACGTAAGAAAGGTAAAGGATGGATAAGTTGATGATACGTGACTGTTATATTGCGTAATGTGATGAGTTCAACTCAAATAATATTACAAAAAGAAAACCAATCATAGTATACCAAAAGCGAAGAGGTTAAAGCAAAAGATTACGTAATCAAATATAACAGAGTTAAGAATTTGACTTACCAGGGCAAAGAATTTTTATATATATATATATATTTTAATATTTTTGATGACAGCTTGATTCCACACCGTATTTTTTTGGGTACAGGTATGGAATTTGCAGCATGTGATATCGGTAGCCCAAATTTTGCAGGCCGACCATAGATATCAGGTGTGCGTCGGCAGGGGATAGAACCCCGAACCATGTGCATGGTCGGTGAGAGTCCTAACCACTGTGCCACCGACGCACAAGAAAGACTGATTACTGCTTCTTTCTGAACGCAAAGCAGGTTTTAAACATTTGATAGCAGTAGCTTCGACAGACCTGATAACTTTGAGATATTTACTTCATGACTGTTGAAAGCGTTACCTCCCTTGAGTCGTAGGCTTTTCAGTAAATATTCAGAGAACCTAAAGTGTGCTATCTTTCTTTTTCTACAATATAACTGCTACTAAAAATACAAGTAAATCTGAAAACAAAGTTAGAATTAACATGGGGAGACTAACTACTGACCTGTGATTGCACCAAAGAGCATGTCCCTTGGTTAACAGGATCCAACTCAGCTGTAGATTAGTTTATGTTATGACTAGTGAAGTGTTCAATCTTCTCTTGACTGTCCCAATAAAATTACCACCTTTAAAATCATCGTGATGTCTTGCAGTTATATCTTCAGCCCTTTCTTACTTATTAATGAATTCCTGTGAATAACCGTTACATCTCAAAATCCACTATTTTTTCCAATTTTTCAATGGAGCATAATCTTCACTCTGCAAAACAGTTTTGACATATGCTAGTTTACAGTTCAACGAACAAAAACTAGTGAGACTTATAAATTGTTCATTCCACGCAGACTTTCACTGAACGGATCTCTCAAGCACTGCACGGCAAAGTCAAGAAAATGCAACTTCCCATTACCTTTATGTGCCACAGTAAACTCAGTATTTCCATGTGTATCACTGAATGGTCCAAGTAGATAGGATGCATAGGTTCCACTGTCACGAATGCGTTATCAACACATCGACGATAAGCTGTTTCGTCGATTGCACATTTAAACATGGTGTTTGTTAATACAGGACCTAGTGGATTAACCATAGCTATATCATCTACTTGACGGTAGACAGTATTATCAAATCGGAATAGCACATCCTTGTTACACATCAATTAGTAGGGGTTTAAATTCCAGCACTTGTACAGGGAGAAGTCCAAAATGCTAACAAATAATAAAGATGGTCTCATGAATCAGGATGCTTATGATCCAGAGTTACACCAAATAACAATATGAACTGATTGGAAACGTTATTATGGCCCAGGCTTTCAACTAACTAAAATTTATCATTCACAGTATATGCAGCCAGTCGTTAACGAATGATTAGGAATCTTCTTTGCAGGTTAATGAACGAAGCATCTGATTTTTCAAAGTTATATATAAGTTAAAAAAATTAGTCCCTTTGATAAATTTGAATAATGCATTTGTCTTCTAAATGCCTTGGAGTACAATTTATGATTACAGCCTTCTATAAACTGACATCATATTGCCTTCACAAGTACGTTAAAACCCCTCTGCATACATGCCTAATAATTTTTCAGGCTGTATCCAGCTGTCAAGAAACGGACGAAACAAAATTATCTTATTCGGCTGAAACCGTTGTTTGCTTCACTCAAATTCATAAAGGGGAATAGGTGAATGAAATAGCCCAGCTATTAAAATACGCCACTGGGAAAATAAATATGTATACATACCAAGTTAATTCACTGAAAGATCAAGTTATCTGCATTCCCAAACAAACTTACCGTTGGTTACAGACGTCGAAGGAAGAGGATTTTCAGATCCTTCTGTCTCCAGAAAGCCAGATGGAGAACTTACGTCGTCAGCTGTATCGTCGCACTTTGGCTTGGTTCGAACAGTAGGGCGAAAGTGACGACAGGAAGGTCGGTGTTTGGGTTTCGCCTTAAAACCACTTCCCGATAACTTGTTAATAATTTCATGTGGGGCAGACTGAGCGCCGATGCGCCTGCTTCGTCTTCTGTATAAAAGCTGGTGCCTAGGAACGAACAGGAACCCATTTTAATAAAGGGTTTAAATTTTTTTCGAAATTTTGGGAAAATTGTTTCAATGAAATGTAACTACACCCGAGTAAAATATATATGAAATATTTTCACAAACGTATTTACACAGAGAATAGGGATTTATGGATTTAGGAGTGTAGGTTGGAAACTGTTGTAATTCGTTTCAATGGTGTAGCCAAAATACCGTAATCTTACACGCAGAGACGAATCTAGTAGGCGAAACACGAATAAAAGTTTTTTTTGAAATTATCACGAAAATTTCCTTACATAACATTTTGGTAGAAAATACACCTCGCACAAGAAAGGCACACAGTTCAGCGACACAAGTCAACTGATATCAACTAGAAGTGCAAGGTAATTGCAGGTCACCCAGCTTGGTGACCATACTGCAAACCCGACTGAGAGAATTCAGTCAGCACCAACACAAAGTATTAGACAAATAACATTGGTTACATCCAAATAGCCAATTAATGTATTCATATAATTTCACGTTCTTCCTTTGGCATTCCCTGAAATTTAATTATTCCTTTCAATGTGAAATTTCATAACGACAATTAAATCAAACACTTTCCAAACATCATTACCTCCCAATTAAATACACGTATTCAGGCAAACAAACAACATTCATTCAAAATCGTATGGTGCAATAAATCAAGATATACAACTACAATCCATGTTGTTAGAAGGTAGGATTAGTTGTATAAGTGTTGATGACTAAATGTTTTTTTCGTCTACATACATTGTCCGCTGAACACAGATTCTAGATTGTCCTCGATGAGTGCAGATTTCCTGAAGTCTCAGTTGGGAACAACTATATATACATCTGCACTACCTTACAAACTAGTAATCGCAATAGCCATATCTTGTTTGATTCTCAAACCTCAAACTTTTACAATTCAGACATCCTATTTAACCAAAGAAAAATGCTTCGTGCAATATAAACTTACGGACTCAGCTTTTTTGGCAATTGTGGTTGGTCTTGCATAGAAGAATCTCGACAAGTAGCATCGTAATCTGCCAAATCATTGTGGTTTACGGCATTTTTAATCGCTAAGGAGGCATCGTATATTTCTGAAGGTGGACTGAGTGAGCCTACGGGAAACACACTATTCGTTAGTGTTGTTGATTCGGTGTTAGATGTTTCATCATGCTGACTTTGATCAGCTTCCCCAGATGGGGATTTACGAGTGCCTACAAGGAAAAAATCGTCTTTACCTCTGATCGGAAAACTATACACTTTCGATGTACAATAACAAACTCAAACTTGAGAAGAAAATACGCATTGCAAACCACTATGTAAAAGCAGTTCATATGAAGTGCTAAAATCATTTTCCAAACGACTTAAAATCAAGAAGAAATACAAATTCCCAGGTTATTAAAATCTCGTTTGAAAGTAAGTTTCAAGGCAATGAGAATCCTGTTTAGTTCAGAAATGGAAAAACACCATCTTGTCAATTTAGGGGACTAAATCGATACGATATTTTATGGATACCATAATATTACCTGTGATCAAACCTAGATTGTCTCTGTTGGTTAAAGTAATATCCATGACAGATACTCACTGACTTCAACGTAGAACTTTGCACAAATGTGCAGCAGTTCGAGTTGCCACACTCCATGTAGCACACAATGCAAGAGAAGACAGTAAAGAGAAGTGTGAGGGGAAAAGAGGAGTAATATGGAAGATGTGATAAATCACAAAGAGTGAATGCATCCGACCATGACTTTGTTAGTACATCTATGATGAATTTAAATAGGAATGGGGACAGTGGTCATCTGTCACGGGCACCACTGGTTGTCTTCACTTCAGATGAAAACTCTCCATGAACCCTTACACAGCTGCATGAGTGTGAGCAGAGTACTTTGGTCAGTATGATGTACTTCCTCCGCAATCCCTTCACTGGCAAACGCTGTCATAATACCGCTCGACTGACGGAATCAAATTCAGCCTTCGGGTCAAGAAATATGGCCCATGTTCCACAATCTGCCGAAGGGCGAAAATCTGACTAATATAACCTGCTGTGTCAGCAGCTAGGAAGTAACAACATAAGTGAACAAGATTTCTATTTGCAACCTAATTTAATCTTCATGATATCTTTTGGGGATTAGTTGATTCTCTACTTAGTCCTCGTAGACTTGCTGCTACTGTGATAGTATTGCAATCGCAAGCTGAAAACTCCCTACTCGACTGCATCCCACTGGATAGCTGTGTGCACGTTGTCTGGCTTAATGAATCTATACTGATAAGATAGTGCTTTCCATGGACATCTTTCCACGAACTAACAGCAGTTTCGGAAGGGAACGATGAGTTTTATCAGAAGCTGCCTACTTTGTTGCCAAAGCCGAAACACTGAAGAAGGAAATTTGAAACTCCTCATAAAGTATACTGGAGCATCTGTTACGGCTTGTACTGAGGAATAAACAATGGTGACTGTCTTTTTCAAATTTATTCAGATGACTACTTATCACTGGTCAGCAATAATTTCACGCACATAGACAGTATTTTATCTGGCGACCACCCATATTAGGCTAACGACGGTAAGAAGTAAACCATCTGTAGGTGAAGAGGATTGCCGTTCATTCTAAAACATAAACTTGAACCTCAATCATTTGTTCATTCGTGTACATATATGTCGGTGGATGAACGGACACGGAAAACAAGCAGTTGAGAGACTTTTACGCGCCTTAGAAATCCGGATATCATACCTAGATTACTTCAGAGAATGTTAAAGGCTGCTGGTAAGCTGTAGGCAAAAGTTAGAGAATGTCACTAAGTATCTGAAGCTTTGTCCGGACTGACTGGTTCCTGTAGGCTCCTGACGTTGAAGAGCGTCGAGAGCTTATCAAATGAAACCTTACGAATAGTTTTCGTAACGACTTCTGGTACTAGTGGATGAGGAAAGTGTAGGCATCAGCAATAGGTAATACCTGTTAACCGTCTAAGCTCATTTAGGGAAATGGGCACTAAAATACCTATAGTCAGTTAAGCTGTTGTTTACTGTTTTAGGCGCCCGACTAGCAACCACTAAGTCGCGAATTTGAATCCTGCAGCCCACAGAGAGGCTTGAGCAGGAAGGTAGTATGATTAGTCGTCAAACAATAGGGGTATGCCAACTGCATGGAAACGCAAGTGGAAGTTGGGTGGGTAATATTTCCTTTCTTCATTTATGGGAAGTTGAGTGAGATTAGAGGACGATGGAGAACTAATACGTAAGATGAGAAAGCTGGAACATCGTACAGAATACAGACAATTAATAAGCAGCTGTACTACAACTGCCCGCCATCAAAACCCCGTCTAAGTTTCCTCCTAGTACAGCCCAAGTCGTATATATATATATATATATATATATATACTGGTGTAGGCGTGATATCCAGTCATCCATTAGCTGAGATGTCGCTGAAAGCGGGAGGTAAGAAATGACAAGCAGTTATTAACATGAGGACCACATTCACAATCATCTTGAGCGGAGCACCATGGTTAGTCATAATGAGGCTACGCGTAGTGTTAGGTAAGAAGGGAAAGTCCTCCAATGAAGTCAAAGAGCTTGAGTCACTAACTTTCCTGACAAAGTTAGGTGAAATACATTTTTTCCTTAGTTTCATGTGTACTTTTCTAGAGTGTGCGATTTTGTGCATGGATTCGCGCTGATGAGTCAACTGGTCTTAATTCTGCTGGTTCTGATAGAAATGAAACTGAACACCACGACATTCTGTAATGTTAAGTCGTAGGCTTTGTTTATTTAGCAAATATCAGGGCTTGCAGGAACTAATCACCTGAATGCGATCACATTAAATTAGTTTAGAAAGCTCTCACCAGACTAGTTATTTCAGTCTTGTTATCCAACTGCGACAAAAGTTGGAAAACCACAGAAAACTGCCGAGGAAGTAGTTATCGAAAGTCAGTGATGTAGAGCGTAATGCAGTTTCTGTTTGAATGAATATCTGATACAGTAAACAATAATGCGTATGAGTAAAGTACTTACCAGTAGGTGTTGTGTTGACATGATTGTCCAGGATACTCTCCGTCATAGTGTCTTGGACACATGGGCGTTTCTTGATTGGTTGCTTGATACTGCTGCTCGAGGTCGAAACGGATGCACCATCTGATGCTGAAGTCTTTCAAATATCAAGGAAAAATTTACGAGCACAGTTCAGCCATAATTTTCAAAATATGCAACTTGCCAGATCACAACTGGTATGAAAACAACTACATACTTTCCTAGGGCATACGTAGGCAGTTCTCATGCACTAGTTACTACGATCGTTTATTCTCACCCAAGTGCACACAAAAGAAAAACAGATGAGAAGTTCGAATGGTCTTATTTTGATAAAATGAATATTAATACTGGATTTGAAGAAACGATCAGTGGTGAGACACAACAGTTATTGGTCTTGGAGAAGTCTGGCATTGCATTGAAAATTAAGTGCAGCAAGGCCTGCAGGTTCATTTTAAGAACAATTTTTTGAAAGTTGGGTCAATTTTTAGTAGAAGCATACGAGTTGGGCATTAGTTGCAGTTTTCTCCGCTACCCTTCTACCTATATCCATGACGTCCACTTCAACTAATTATAATTGCAATCATTTTGTGCATTTCCGTTAAGTCTTATTCAAGGTGAGAAAATTTCATCGATTTTGTACAGTGGTCTTACATCTTAATTTTGATATTCACTTTACTGATTTCTGAAACATTGTTTTTCTTAGTTTCATAATGGAAACGACTTCTGATTATCACGGGTGATCTACAGAATTAGTCATACGAGTGTAACAGGCACTGCACAAGGAAGGATGTGAACGGGATTCACATTACCGTCGGCTATTACTATAAATCTGCACTACTCAATACTACCGCAGTCGTATTGATGTATTTGAGTGGCACAGAACTTCTGTCCGATTCACACATATATGTATAGACTTGCAGGGGGAGATAGCCATATAAACGGGAATAGGTGCTACATTAACTAATTTGGACAAAACAGCTTACATTCAAATGAGGACGTTTATGATTTAAGATGGACTTTGTTTTGCATCTCTCAGCACCCAACAAGTCAGCTGTGACATTGGCTGTTCGGGAGCATACAGTGCACATAGCTCCCCCAGAAGAAAAGCTTTGTACTTGGCGACCTAAGAGACTTAGTATTTTTAAGCTTGACTTACGCAAACCGCATATCTCCATTTCTTTGCCTTTCATGACATCCTCCATATGCTTTAACGATCTAAGAACATAAGTGTATTGAGGAGTCTACCTTTTTAAAGATTCGTTCTCGTCCTGCAAGCGACGGATTTCTCTGTCAACACCTAGAGGATAATCAAAAAAGTACTCCATTACTAACCATTTTGAGCTCGTTGAAATTGTCTTCTGATTCCTATAAGGACTAGATATCACCACAAGTAAATCTTACTAGAAACAGAGGCAGAAACTTCTTTAGATAATGAAGTTCGCAGACTAATCAATGACCTGATATAGGCACATTGCAACTCTTTAAATCTGTTCTCCATATCTACCACTGTAATCAGCCCCACAAGGTATGACCTCTGACAAGCGATTGTATAAAACAACAGTTGACCTTAAGTCCAATAATTCGATTGAGGAAATAAAGAAGTGTATATAATTTCGGTTTCAATTTTTTAGATTTGAAAGATTATTTTCATGTGGCTAGCCAGAATTTAGCCGCTAAAACTCAGAAGGGCTTGTGCTTTAAAAGACATTATTAGTGGTGGCTGCAGATGTGATAGTATCGTATTTCGATACAAATATCTAAGGATTGACTAAACCATCCACCACAAAGAATGTCGTGCAATGCGAAATTTTCAAGAAACCACATGATGAATTTAAATAGGTTAGGAATTGTTACCGCTGAATTAATACTTTTGTAATTTCCTGGGCTTCCGAGTGGAACATAGGGCTTCAACAGCACATCCTCACTTAGTCCCATTCTCTGTAGTCGTCTCCAAATGGATCCACAACTGCCTATAATCCTTTATCTCCTCACATGTTTACCCTCAAGTCACTCTCGGACTCCCAGCTAGTCGTCTCCCATTCGGGTTTCACTCGAGGGCAACACAAATGATTGCACTCAGTGGTCTCTTCAGTGTGTGTCCGATCCATCTTCACTTTCCTAGCCATATTTGTTGGATATTAGTTTCACGATGAGTCTGCTACTAAGGTTGTCTGTTGCTTATCCTTCCAGCCACCTGATCTTCATTCTGAAGCGAAGACAGCTATTGATGAAATTCTGAAGTAGGCTGCTGGAAATGTGTTTCGTGACGCGCAAATTCTCAGACCCATGTAAAAGAAATGGATGAAAATTAGTGTTGAAAATCCGAATCTCGTTCTTTATGCTGACTGTATCAGATTTCTGGACTGATTACATACTGACGAAGGTCTGTCTTGCTTTTCTGATCTTGCCTTCCGCATCCTGATTTATGCCACCCGTAGTTGAACCGATACTGACTGAATAAGTGAAAGAGCTGACTTCCTTCGGTCTTCTCCCGTTGTCAGTGATTGGTGTTTGGTGGTATTGGTTAGCTTTCTTTATCACCTTGGTCTTCTTAATGCTTATTTGAAGTCTTGTGTGTCCTCTGTTTTTTCTGCTCACTCGCTGGTATACGACTGTAGAGCTTCTTGTTTTTGTGACTTATACTATAGTTATAATGTTGTAACAAGAGCATAAACTAAGCCTTTTTGTATCTGTTGAGAGGAGTGTATCTATTCTGAAAAGGATTTGCTGATGGCTATTTCCCCATTAAGTCTTTGATAAATGTAATTTTAACACTTTTCGCAACACATTAATCCTTAACAGACCAGATATCTGCAAATTAGTAAAACGCTCCACTGTTTTATAGTATTATTAACCTAAGATACAAACGTTTTTCTTCCACCGTCACTCCTCTACCAGATATTTGCAGAGAGATCATCTCGGTATGTATCCAAAGCTCACACTCAGAAAACAGGTCGATATGTGCTTTTCAAAACCTCTGGCAAGCCTTGGAATAAACGCAAGTTCATGGTCTTAAGCATTACATGTTTTACTCATTCTTTGTTCAGTTCAACATAGGGCTATTCAATGATCCCGAAGACTTTGAGGAAAGTCGAGCACGATTCAGACTACTCTGCAACTCAAAAAATAATTAGAAAGGCATCTATGTATGAGATGAATCATAAGTACCTTACAATTATTGCTTGTCATGATCTAAAACGTAATACATGTTGTAAGACGAGAGACACTAAGAAATTCTAAGTTTTGTTGTAACTCAGATTCTGTAACATTGCACCTGGTATATTTAAAATAAACACCCTATTCCCTATCTAATGGACATGTGACTGAGGAAAGCCACAAAGTCGTCGGAAAGAATATTCTCTGTTCACTAGTCAGTTAATTGAATTTTTCAAATTTTAATAAGGTATCACATCCTCATCTGCACTCTTTATTCTCCTGAATCCACATACCCGATTACAAAGGTACATGAAGAATTCAAGCAGCACTGATAGGTATAATTTTTATATCTGAAGGACATCTTTTAAAATTTGTATAGCTAAAATTACTTGTTTGGCTTGATGTTGCATCAGATACGCTAAATATATGAATTCGGTGCCTGTGTACCACACATTATATAACCTTATCAAAGTGAGATGACGATTCTTCCCAACGAAGTAGCTTTGAGAAGCGGCTTTCGCAGACGTGTTTTTCGATAGAAATCTACAGTTTCAGTCGAACTTATCCGCCACTTTGGTTGAAATTCCTCATGGTAAATTATTTTGTCGATAAGTTGTAATAAAATTGCGTTATGTTTTCTAGATTGATAGGAATTCTCATTTGCTGACTAGTCATGGTGGTGTCCGCGTCATGTAATCTGACTGCGACACACTCTTAGCATATTGGCTGCAATGATCAGTGTTTCAGGCGGACTGTGTCAAAATATCACTATAATGAGGAGGATTGGATAGTTGAAGGGTAATGTCATCTACACAAATAATCTACTATATGTAGAGGCTGCACCTTCCGGCATAGTATCATTCAATGAAGACTTCACGTCTCAGGACATCCCTGTGGCCTATTTTCGTGTGAAGAACAGTACTATTTGACAAAAGGAATGCTATAAGTACATGGAAATCACCTATAAATGCTAACAGAACCTTCTGTGGGAACAGAAGTTATCATGTAGATGTGTCTTACTGTACACATGTTTGGACAGGAATTATCGTAAGTTGAGAGGTTACCTCCAAGTGGATTTACTGCATATATACTCTCTGGTACAATGGATTAAATATATAAAAAATATCTCAAATTTATTAATATTGTGCAATTGTCTTGTAGGATCACTACTAGGCCTACAAATGTGGGTGGTTCTCATTATTAGTGGAAGTGCAGTGCAGTGGAGAAGGCGATTACTCTTTTAATTTTACTCATCGTTTCAGTTTATACTATTATTATTCACATGTATTGTGTCGATTATGGGAACTGAATCTAGTCAACTCTAATATTATCAATCTGCTATCTGTTATACCATTCCCACTGACACTGTATACTTAATGCTGCAATAATTTTGATCACCAACAGTGGCGATGAATTTCTGCTGAAATTTACACTCACATAAAGCAGTATCACGACTGAATGTCTAGGTTGTGTTATATGGCGTTGTTATCCTCATCAACATAAAGGGTCTGTGTATCTTTGAATATTTTAAGTGTTTCTCTATGCTGTCAACACTGTGCATGGCTGTTTAGAGTTGAGACATGTTCAGTTTATACTTGATTGCTATAGTTTCCTAAATATGGGAATGTAATTTCGGTGGGATTCACGAAACCATGTTCACTAGACATTGCTGAGATTGTGGATTAATTTCTAAGTTACGCATTTGAAATACTTCTTTTAGTGCAAGTGTATTTATTGTGAATTTGATCTGCAAGTAATCTTGATGAGAGAATAATACCTTAACAGTATGGATTTTCCACAGATTGTCTTGAAATTCGCGTATAATCCTCTAATACTGGGAACGCATGTGGTCTATTCATGCATACAGCGTCAATATAAAAACCAGATATAGACTACAAATACTTTTATTTGCATGGGAATTTTGTTTAGTATTAACAGACTCAGTGTATTCGTATCGCATATTAGTATATAAAATTATCTCTCATAACTTCATGTTGTGTTTTATTTTTTAGTTCGTCGAACATGAAATCAGCGGAAATGTCAATCGGTCAAACTGATGCTAATACTCCTCATCAAAATTTCCTTTTGTAAATTAATGAAATGTTTAATATACTCTTAATTTCTACTTCTTCTGGACTTCCTCAATGAGTCGCTATACTTTGTGCTTTTGTAATATGTGAATTCGGTCTACTGCGTGTTAGGCCTAGTTAGTGGAATTGAGATTTACTATAGTAATATGAGACTGTTACTTTAGTCATTCATAAGATTTCGCTTCTGTTTCTGTACAATATCACGTTGTGAAAACTAAGAAGGATCTAGCAAGTTGAATAATAATTCTGCACTGTTCGACACTCTGAAGATACCTTATTTAACCAGTTGCGAGTCTGTATACTGTTAAACGCCAAGTATGCAGTTCAAGTAAGTGTAGTAACTTAGTGTTGATAGCTACTTCATTATTCTGTTAATATGCATTGACATCATCAAATAGACTGTTTACCTGGCGACGAGCTGAGAGACAATTTTTATTTATTAACAATACGCCGTTGAATCATGTGTTGTTATCTAATACTCAACATTTTTATGATCAACAACTGCAGTATTTGCATATCTACCTTGTTGATATTAAATTAACCTTATGTATCTAATTACAACCAGTATGACATCAGTATTCCCTACTCATTTGATGTGTGTACACTGAACAAGTCTTTCATAAATTCTTCCACAAGAGCCAAGATTTCTAGTGTCACAAGTGTTAACGAAACCTGCTACCCTGGTTTCAATACAATTGATGTTCTAAAGTGTCTCCAGTCACTGAATCCTTCTTGTAGCCTAGGACCAGATTGTTTGCCTAGCGTTTTTCTCAAAAAATATGCAGATACCTGTAATCCCTTCGTCGACACATTTAATGAGTCTTTTTCCAGAAATGTCGTGC